TAACTGGCTGATTATAGAGCAACTGCACAATATTAAAGTTATACAAAGAAATACAAATTGGCATTAGGCAGTACAAACCTAAGATAAGTCTTTGTAGTTATATAAATTTGTAAACTGAGAAGCCAGCCACTTGGAAAGATCTAAGTAGAGAGGTAGCACAGATTTCAACAGTATTACTATAAAGGCTAAATCTAGAAAACAGATATCAATATAGAAGAAATCAGGTAGATGAGTAAAGGTTATCACTAATCAGGCCATCAAAAGTCTTGAACTAGAGAAAAAAAATTTTAAAAAACAAACTTTAGAGTACTAGAAAAAAGGCATACTTCTTCTGAACTATTTGGATTAGAAGTCTGAGATCAGAAGCAGAGGTATATTATAAATACTAGAGATATGCTATAAAGTTAATACTAGGGTCTAGATAAACTCTGCAAAAGTAAACCCTATTAACAAAAAGATTAAATGTAGATAGTTAGTTAGTAGAAAGGATCTCTAAAGCCTTACAGTTAGATTATGTACTCTGAAATATGTAATAGCTTAACAAATATACAAAAAGAGAGGTCAAAATTAGGTTAAATAGCACTTAGATGTATAGGAACTTATGCACTATTTGTTAGTATAAGTATAGAGATCAGAATGTTTAAATAAATAATCTTCTAGTAGATTGTAAATATAGTAGCTAGTGTATAATCTGCTATACAAATAAACTACTTAAAATAGACAACCAAATGTTATACATATAGCTAGTTGTATATTCATCTTGTACAAGTTATGTAAACATAATTAAAATACAATAAAGGCAATAGCTGCCAATAACTATAGCCTTAGTAAAAGCAAAAAAAAAACATTTAATTTATTATTTTAGTCAGATTAATTATAATTTTTATTAATAATATGATTAATATAATTATATATTTAATTATTAGAATATGATCTTAAAAATTAAATATTTTATAACATATTTTATAAATAGTAATTATTGAAAAATATTTGAATATAATTAAGCTAATTATATTGAATTATTAGAAGAATTTTGTAAATATATTTCTATAGAGAACTTTATAATATATAATTTAATTCTCAAAAAAATTCACATCTATATAATAATTAATGCATAATAACAATATAATATAAGTTTATACTGATGATCATAAATAATACAACAAAAAAAAATTTAATCAGATTATATTATTTTATGCAATTCCAGGCATATTTGTTAAATTATTTTTATATTTTATTTTATTTTTTTTTAATATTAATAGTAAGGCTATGCCTCTATCTTTATTGAATATTTATTTGAAATTTTTATATAAAGTATAAATTTACTTTTAAAAATATTATAAAAAGAGTAAAAGCTCAAACTAGTTTATCTGCAATCTAAATTAACAGAAGTGGCCAAAGCTCATCTAGATTTAGATGTTTGTAATTATATATGAAAATTTTTTTATTTTATTTACAAATAGTAATATTATTATTAATAAAAAAGATATAAAAATTTAGTGATCAAAATTTTTTAGAGGTATGAGCTTTATTTCAATATACATGTTGCATTATTTTTGCTTGTCTTAACTATAACATAATTGTAAAATAAAAAAATTTTTTTTATATAAAAAAAAAATAGTTTTTTTTTAATAATTTTTAATTATCATCATTTGGTATAGTTATTCTAAACTCTAATTATATTATGGATTTATTTTAATATTAAATGAATTAACTTTATGCAGGTTTTAACATGAATTGCCTACTAAACCATCTGAATTTTTTCTCAAAGGTCTTTTTCACTTGAAATTTGACCAAAAAGGTTTTTAAGATAAGATTAACTTTATTTTACAATTATTTAATTAGGTTTAAATTGGCTAATTAGGAAGACCAGTTAAAAAACTTTACTTTTTTTCTTGTAAGCTAATATTTGATTAAGATTGCTATATAATAAGATGCTTTATCTTGTTGAAAAACATTTTACTAATTTTAAATTCATAATTTTTAATCATTCATATCAAATTTTCACAGAATATTTTTAGATACAGATTTGTATTCTTGTATCATTAATCTTATAATAACTGCTAATATCATAAAAGGTAAAGAAACTTTAAATCATAATTGATCTGTTATCATATTTTATAGTGGACTTAATATGGAATTAATTTAATAGTTTTCCATGATACTTCCAATAGTACTGCTTATCATTCAATTCAAAAATTTGGAACCTTGGCTCATCTGATCAAATTATCTTGGACCAATTTTCAATAATCTATTTTTTATATTTTTTTGCAAAAATAAATAAGCTATATTTTTTAATAATTATCATTTAGATAAGGTTTTTTTTTATTTCCAATACTAAATCATAGTTTTGAAGTATCTAGCAAATAATAGATACTGAAATTTTAATATCTTCATTTATTTTGAGATAGGTTCTTACTTCAATAGTAATAGAATAGTAATAGAAGGTAATTAAATTTACTATTCTTTTTGAGGTTGGTTCATTCAATGAAGTTAGATGACTAACCTTTTCTAAATCTTCAAGTATATGATTTACTAACCACTTTTTTCTAATTCATAAGATTGTGAAAAGTTAATATGGTGGATCTGACCTACTGCATTTATGATGTATTCTTTTTAAAAAGAAAGCAATATTTGGACTTGTTAAGTAAAGATTGTACAATTCTTTTTTTTTAATTTATAATTAATTTTAACATTATACAAGATATAGAATTAATAATAAAACTTATATTTTTATATGTATTTATGTAACATAATTCACATAATCTAATCTTTGTCAAAAATGATTAAAAATAATGCAATACATGATTTGTAATAAATTTACAATTATCTTTGCATTGGTAATAATAATGACTATTAAAATTTTACTATTTAAAAAAGACAGTATTTGTGAATAAAATAAAAAAAAATTTAACAAATATGCTCAGAATTGTATAAGATAATATGATCTGACTAAATTTTTTTTTGTTGCATTATTTATGATCATTAGTGTAAAGGATTTGATCATTAAAATGTTTTTGATTGTACCATTACAAACAGCATGTGAATGAAATTTTTCTGTTCTAAAATGGTTTTATAAAGATCAAAGAAATTGATTTATAATTAACTGTATTGAATCTACAACCAAATTGTAAAAGTATTGATTTTCAGAAATCTGAAAAAACTTGAAGATTATGAAAAAGATTTAATAGAAGAATTACAGGCATATGTTAATATGTATCACAACAATTCTGATTGATTTATCCTTACAAGATATATTTAACATAAATGATATATTCAATGATAATGAACCCTATATTATGAATCAAAATATTCCTACTTCTGTTTTACTCTTGTGAATTTTGATACATTTTATGACTTTTGAGACAAAGCTTAATATCAAAGACATATCAGATCTCACTTTGTCTGTTTTTTTTTTTAATTTTAATAACATGGAATCGCATTATGAAAAATTTAAATTACAATTGAGAACAACATCAAGCAACATCAAGCAAAGGCCGTGGAGATATGGACTTTGAAGTATCGAATATTGTTGATGAGATCTTAGGAAATGAGACTGATGATTATTAGCTTTAAAAAATATTATACAATGCAAATCTAATTTAATTAAATATGTAATAGATATTCCACGGGCTGATGTGAATATCATGAATTAGCACAACGAAGCCATGGTAATGCATGATGTCACGGCACACCGTTGAATATCTCTGATTAAAAATTTTTTACTGATGATGTCATGCCCATGGAATAATTACACGGCATTATATAATCATAAAAATATCATTAGAAATGTTCACGGGCGAACATATAGGCCATGGAATATAAAAACAATACAGTTTATTACTGTTTTATTATAAGCATATGTATCAATGTAAATGCTAATTTAATTAAATATAAAGTTTATCGCAAGCATACGTATAAAGTTTTATCAGTAGTTTTATCAGTTTATATCTTGATATTTTTTATGGTTTAATCGAAAGTGTTAAAAATATAAACAGTATAAATATCACATAGTTTATATTTTTATCAGGTTTTGTCAAGGGTGTTCTTGGCATCACTAGGTTTTCAAAAGTTTAGTCCTTAATATCAATTCGGCTCAAAATAAACTGAACTAGTTAAATTTCAAGTATGAAATGAACTTGAACTGTTAAACAGACCTATTGCTAACGTTAAGTAGTAAACTAAATTTTGATTATCCAATAAAATATATGAACAATTTATTTACTGTGCCGCACCGATTAAAAAGAACCGGGGTCTAAAACAAACTTATGCTCGGGTATATTGTACAGCAGAGGATTGCTATTGCAACCAAAACAATTTCAAATGCATACACGTTCCTCTACGGTTAAGTCTTTAAAAAAAGTTGTCCTCGACTAATGGTATTTCTGCAGGTTTAATCGGAGTATTTTACATGGAGGATGAAGTACAATAATATGCTATGCAAAGATCATCTTTTAATTAGGACAGCCTCCGGTTCTGGATCGGGCAACTACTAATTTGATCGCAATTAATAAGTGCATTACACTTAAAGAGTAAAGATTTGCAATATGTCGATATTAGGAAAACTAAGCGAGGGATTTCCAACTGCGCATCTAAAGAAACTGACAAGTCAATAAGAATACGTACGTACGTACCGCACCTCCATACGTACATACCCAGTTTCATGTTACCGAAGATTCTCTGTTACACATTTCTGCGTGCCTTTGTTTTTTTTGCTTTGTATGCTAATATTGTATTCAGATAATCATTAAGAAACAATGGCTCAATGGATAGACCTTTGTTTTCTGAATATATAAAATGAACCCTTTTTGCTAGACTTGCCTCTTGCCTCTCTGTTAACTTCGTGCAAAGAATTCAAAGGTTGGAAGTTAGCAGGACTAACTTAACCTCCAATAAAAACCCTAGATTCAAGTACATATTATCGTTTATTTTATATTATCGGCAAGCATCTACCAAATTTTTCAAAAAAAGCCTGCAATAATCCCAACCTTGAGGGTGTGATGAGCAGACAACTCTCACCACAATCACATTATAGGCACGTTAGAAACGAATCTACTGATTCAATTGAATCTTCAGCATTTCCCGTAGATAGCGAGGACAGTGACAACGGAAGAGGTAGTAATAAAAGGTCATCATTTAAATCAGTAAACGCCCGAAAGACCGATTATAAAATAAATCATAAACGAAATAGGGTTAACAGTATCGTTCCTGAGTATTATTACGCAGACGATAACGGTATTCCAATTAATCAAAAATCATTTCTTGAAATGAACAATTCGCCAAAAAGTAACAAATGGTTTCCTAAAATTCAATTTTGGAAAAAGAAAGAAAACAAACCGCTTCCATCTCCAGCCACAACAAAAAATAATAAAAAAGAGAGAAGAGGATGTTGTACAACAATTCTGTTGATTATATTTATTTTGTTGTTTTTAGTAATGCTAGGAAATCTTCTAGCATTAGATATTTTACTTTCGAGGTTACAGCAAATTATAAATAATATGCAAAATCCACTTTCAGGAACAAATAATACAACACCATCACAATTAGATCTGAGAATCGAAACAATCGTATGTTTGACTTTGTTTAGCGCGACGGGGAGTACACAACCAAAACAATACCCATGCGATTTTTGTTCGAGAGACCCGAATGCGTTTTATAACGTTACAACATTTTGTGTGCTGAAAGGAATCTGGGCTAATACAGTGAACCAAACAGCTCTAGAGACCGATCTGAAGTGGATGTTAGATAATAATTTTTGTCAATGGATTGGAGTAAAATGTGATTCTTCTAATAACATTATTTCATTGTATCCTTTTTTTAAAAATATTTATGATAGAATTATTCTGTATATTCAATTAATCATCTTTAACACAATCATTATTTGGAACTCAGAGAGCTTCAAGCACCAAACATTCCAAATACATTATCGAATGATTTAGGAAAACTAACAACGCTACAGAACCTGTAAATATCCTACGCACCATATTTACTATTTTGATAAATTATTTTGTACATAATGATAAGAATTAACACCAATATTTACTGTAATAGAACAATTACTGGAAGCACAACTTTACCAAACGGAGCGATTCCTACAAGTTTGTTCCAATTGCCGAATATGAACATGTTGAAAATTTCATCAACTTCTCTTTCAGGGTCTATACCTGACACATTCAATAAAATGCCTGCTCTAAAAACATTGTAAGTGAAATATGTTTAATGAATTTGTGAGTTCATTCGCGTTATTTTATTATTAATTTTATGACTCATTATGTCGTTATAGATCATTACAAAATAATCCGCAACTTGGTAAAACTATACCACCATCCATTGGATCACTTTCTCTCAATAATATAATAATTAGTGGACAGGGAATCTCAGGATTTGTTCCGGATTTTATTGGAAATAGTAATACTCTGCAAAAATCACTACAAACTTTGTATGTTTTTTTTCAATCAATGTTTAGATACGGAAGTTCGCTATAATTAATACCATAAATTTATTTAGAGATTTGAATTCTAACGCGTTAACTGGAACGATACCGACGTCTTTAATGCAGCTCTCTGTCTTAAAAACATTGTAGGTTACATTATTAATAATTTATACATTTAGTTATAACTGACAGTAACATTATCTGTCAATACAGGATACTGGGAATCAATCAATTATCGGGATCTATTCCTACAACAATTGGCTCTGCCAAATTTCAAAAAACCATAGATCAATTGGACTTTGGTAATAATTCGTTAACAGGAACCATTCCTGATTCACTATCGCAACTGACAAATTTAGAATTTTTGTATTTGGGCAGGAATCAGCTTAGTGGGCAGATTCCTACATCATTGGCATCATTAACGAATTTGAAAGAATTATTACTGAATAATAACAAATTGAGTGGAAGTATTCCCGATTCTCTTGGAGGTCTTTCTTTAAAAACATTGTAGGTTTTTTTTTAAAAATTCAAGTTAGAATTGAAGTTAAAAATTAAAATACTTAAAGAAATAAATTATACTTCTTATTAGATTACTTACGGGAAATATGTTAACGGGAACGGTTCCTAACAGCATATGTCAAAAAGCATTTACAACATGCGATTTGACCAGCAATAATTTCACGGCATCCACAACAAAATGTGTTACTTGCACTTTTTAAAATCTCACTTTAATACAGTAGAAATTAATTTGTTTTAAGCATTCATAATTTAAATTCATTTGATCTATAATGTATATACATGCAACAGCTGTAATTTGGTTTTTCGAAAGAAAACATAATATAAATATATATTTAATAATATATGCTAAAAATTATAATATAAATAAGAATATGTATTATTTATAATTAATTTGAAACTCTCACAACTCTTATATAAAATTTATACTTATGAAAAATCTTTCGATTTTTCAAATTTTAATTTTCGGTCGATCAGTTAGCTTTACTGGTTAGTTTCTGCTTCAGCCAAGTTTTCTGCATCAGCTGTAGCCATAAAAAAAAGAAGTGAAGTCATTATATAGTAAATACCATATTGTTTTATTACTTAAATGTATCAAGAGAATGCATGTACGTACCAATCAAATCGTCTTGTACATTATCTTTATGCGCAAAGCTTTTAGGCATACGGTAAACAAACGAATAATTCGTTCGAGGTTTATCGGCCCGTTTCGTATAATAACGTTGTGTAACCCAACATTAACGTTCTCATGTGATATTAAATCATTATGATGTTAACATTGATAAATACTTTACCAGTCTCGTTATTGTTATTAAATATTTTAACAATTTCGCAATGAGTTTACTTGGGATAGATCTTACGGCCCCAGGTACACCATATAAAGAATTCGTTCTTGTTTTTTCTTGGGCTGTTTATATTTTTGAGCAGTATTTGAGGTATCTTTTTATTCAAATGATTGTAACCGCATTTTTTTGGGGGATTCATTTTCAAATTTCCAATTATTCTTTTTTTTAGCATTCGACAATATTATAAACTTCAAGAACCAAATCCACCAAAATCATTACAAGATATTGAAGATGTTCGCAAAGATTTTAAAAAAACTCAAGCTTATGGTATAGATAAAGCCAAGTATGGCTTCGTATCGGCTTTGTTTGGCCAGGTACAAAGTACAATTATAATTGTGTGGGATATTCTTCCTTGGCTTTGGGATCTTTCTGGAAAGTGGTTGGAACATGCTGGGTACGGGACGGATTATGAGGTTTTTTTTTACCTTTTTAATTTTCCTGTTTTTAAAACTAGTATTTTATCTCGTTCTGAGTTTTCATCATGTTCTTTTTCATCTCCTAGATAATACAATCCTTGATTTTTACTGTTAATATGACCCTCATGTCATATTTTTTATCTCTTCCTTTAAGTTTCTATTACACTTTTGTAATAGAGGAACGTCATGGTTTCAATAAAATGACTTTGGGCTTATTTTTCATGGATATGCTAAAAGGATTTTTAATTGCTGGGGTCATTGGACTTCCGATCTTAGCTTCAATCTTACAGATTATTAGGTTGTCTGGAGATAACTTTTATTTTTACGTCTGGATTTTCATGTAAGCTTTTTTTTACATCTCCTGTTAATGGATTAATAGTTTTCAAAGCTGATTTATATATTTCAATAGGATAATTTTTAATTTAGTGTTGCTTACTATTTACCCTACGCTCATTCAACCTCTTTTTAACAAAGTTGAACCTCTTGAAAAGGGTGAACTTCGTGAGCGAATCGAGGAATTGGCTTCTCGTATTAAATTTCCACTTAAAAAATTATATGTGATTGATGGTAGCAAGAGATCTAGTCATTCTAATGCCTATTTTTACGGTTTTTTTAAAAATAAGCGAATTGTACTTTATGATACTTTAATTGAGCAGGCTGATACTGGTGAAATATTGGCTATTGTTGGTAAGAAAGATTTTCTCTTAAAAGTAATACGATTATTTTATTAGCATAATTTAACGATTGCAAGTTTAGGTCATGAATTGGGTCATTGGTACCTTAATCATACTGTTAAGGTTCTTGTACTCTCACAAGTTCACAACCTTTTTCTCTTTTACGTGTTTTCTCAATTTATACACAATTCTGAGCTATACAGCTCATTCGGGTTTACTTCTCAACCAACTTTGATTGGATTTATATTATTTCAATTCATCTATTCTCCTATTGAAAACTTATTTACATTCTTGATGAACATCAAAAGCCGACAACATGAATTTGAAGCCGGTAAGTTTATATGAAATACTTAATTAATTCGGCTTTTTTAAATTAATTTGCCTTTTTTAAAATTAATTTGGCTTTTTTAAAATTAATTTGACTTTTTTTGATTTGCATTCATCTTTTTTTCGTTAGATGCTTACTCGAAAAAATTAGGCTACGGAGCGCAACTTCGCTCAGGTCTCTTAAAAATTCAACTTAAAAATTTGAGTAATCTAAATAATGATAAATGGTATTCTTCATATCATTTTTCACATCCACCTCTTCCGGAGAGATTAAGTGCATTGGAAAAAATTGATTAATATAGATTACAAAAAAAAATTTTAAATATTTTTAGGATTTAGTAGAACAGTTAAAAAATTTTATTGTATACAATATATATATATAGTGTAATCCTTTTTTGATTTGAAAAAAATTCTCTTAAATGCTGTATTTTATTTGTTTGTTTTCTTTTATAGAACACCCTTTGTACTTGGGACTTCATTTGATCCTGTTCGCTCAGTTGCTTGCTTTATAGCTATTGCAAGTGCTTTAAAAGCCGATTCAGCTCTTGGAAAATTAATTCATTGGTTAATCAATGAAGTCATCCGATCGTATTACGATATAAAAAATAATCTGCATTTGTCTTCATACCTATGATGATCATTCTTTCCCTTAATTACGTCTACATGCAATGTAATTCCAGCAGAGGTGGCAAAAGAAGAGAGTACATGTGGTAACATTTCGGTGGAAAGTTCACCAATCTTTTCTCGTTTTAGATCTAAATTAATATCAGCATACGGCCTTCCTGAAATATCAACAACAGCGCGTGATAATGCCTTTTATAAAAATAATAAAAATTGACATTAAAACATAATGAGAAAAAGCAGTAATTAAAATCAATTCTCACTTTGTAGGTTCACTTGATTTATTATATTTATTATATGATAAAGTTTATCACCTCATCCAATGGTGCATACGCATATCCAAACCTTTTTATTCCTCTAGGCTCCCCTAATGCTTGTTTGAATGCAAGTCCTAATGCAATTGCAGTATCTTCTGCTGAATGATGGTCATCAATATGCAAGTCACCTTTACATTTTAAATTAAGTGACCAGCCAGAATGTTTCGCAAGGGCATGATACATCTACTCCCATGTTAAAAAAAAAAAAAATTTATATATCGAAAAAACTTTTAAAATAAACACATAAATTATATTAATATTTATACATGATTCAAGAATCCAATGCCAGAATCAATATCAATTGATTGACTTTCAATAGAATCTAGGTGTAGGTTAACAATAATATCTGTTTCATTTGTTTTTCGAGTTATTGTTGAAGTGCGTGCATTAGACATTGTGATGAATCATTAATCCTTAAAAAAGTTCTGAAATGAATTTATTATCCATAAATAGTTTATATATTATCGAGAAACGTGGTACGGATAACGGATAACGCGGACATAACATTACACATTTGTCGAAATTCGTCGAATTGGTTCCGCATAAGATGTCACATGAATATTATCATATGATAAAGATTTATACGTCAAGATCCGAAGAAATTACAATAGTTTTCAAATTGTGTTCTGTATGGTATACAAAGATTTTTTATTAAGTGATTTATGTTTCGACGATTAATGAACAGCTCTAGCATCGCCCATAGAACAAATACCGCTTACTTAGTAACCAATTTAAAAACTAGATGATCTCTCAATTTAACGCTAGATGCGACAAAATTGACAATTTTTTTTTAAAAAAAAAAATTTTGAGCTTAACTAATCCAAAATTAGTTTAAAACCATTTTTCACTTAAGGAACAAATGTTGTTATTTTAATAAAAAATTTTATTGTCTCATAACTTATAGAATTTATATAATATAAAAATCAATTTTCCGCAAAACTTTTTCTCAGTACCAAGCCCAAATTATTAAATTAAAAGGCTTTATAGTGTATAGTATTACATTAAGAATATATAATAAAGTAATAGTGCGATAGGATAAAAAATAAACAAAATTTTCAAATAGCAATAAATGCCAATACTAAAAAAATTGTTATGGCTTATGCTAAAAGTTGGGGTCTCTATTTAGACTTATAATATTTGGGATCTGTGCCTTGAAAATGACGTTGAACATAGTAATTACTATTTTCATGGCACAGACCCCATTTACTAAAATCCACATATACTCTTTTATTAATAATACTATAATCTAACTATGAAAAAAAAGACTACAAAAAAGGTACCCAAATTTAATATCTTTGGTTACTATATATTAAATTAAATTAATGTAATTTTTTAGAAAAAATGTAGTTTATATTGAGAGTTATTGATAACTTTTCTTTATTTTATAATTGTTTTTAGATTTTTTATTAAAATTTAAGGTTAGGGTGCAGTTTAATACCGAAATAGATGTTAGATATAATGTTTCAATTTTAGATTACATGAGGTTTTCATGGGTTCTAAATATTTTTACTTAACTTACCTGACCTTTATTTCTTAATTAATTTATTGAATATAGCATCTTAGGTTTTTTTTTTTTAATGTCAACTTGTAATTTATTGAATTAATATCAAATTAATATATGGTTAGGTGCTGGAAAAAGAGACCAATTGATAATTTTTTCCAAATAATTATTTTAAGTTTAACTAAATTAGAATCATTTTCTACTTAAGAAAGAAAACTTGTTGCATTAATAAAATTTTATAGTATAATCTTTTGAAATCTGTATTTTTCTATAAATTAATATAGATTTTATAATATAAAAATCAAAAATTTAGGGTGTGGCGACCTAGTGAAGTGGATAGGTTGTCAACCCCCAAGTGGCAGGTCTAGAGTTCAAATCTCAGTAACAGCAAAAATTTGCAATTCTTTCTGTGTTATGGCTAACTGTCTTCTGTGATTGGTTGAAATAGGATACCTGTAATCTGTGTCATACTAGCCTAACTGGAAGGTCTAGGCACTTGTGCAACATTGTACAAAGAAACACAAACCAGTGTGAACTCAAGATAAGTCTTTAGGCCATGTAAATCATGGAAACCAGGTAGGAGGATGAAAGCCCACTTGGAAGACCTGAGTAAAGAGGTAATCTGAACTTTCGATAGTGCTACTGTAAAGACTAGACCTATGAAATAGAGTTAGAACTTGTGAAATCGGGCAAAGAGCTGGTCTTTGAGAAGGGGCCAAATAGAACCAACCAGGCTGCTGGAATTTCTGGATTCTGAAAGAAAAGATTACATGTCGGCAAATATGTAAACCAAAGGTGTATGATTACAACCTGCCTTTCTGAGCTATCTGGTTTGGGAGCTGGGTGGAACTTGAATTGAATATTAAAATAGTAGAGATATGTT